AGTCCATCTTATTTTGCGATATATAAATTAAGATCGTTTTAAATAACTATAAATACAATACTAATAAGATAACCTTAAGTTTATGCTTTTGTCGAGTGAGAAACATTCATGAAACATATTAAAACGTCTTGGAAGAAGATCGTCTTCAACAAGTCACGTCTTGAGATTTTGCTCAATTTGCAAATTTTGCAAATTGCTTATTCTTCGCTTATGAATCTAGAAAGAGTTAAGGTAATCCTCAAAATAAAACTATGAGTACTCTGGGTCTTAGACAAAAATTTGATTAAAAAGTACGAGCCAATCACAGTTCGATTTTGATGAGAAACTGCACTAGTCAACATTAAGTAGCGCCCGACGACCAAGCAAAGGCCAGATGGTTGTTCTATATTTTCCTGTTTTTTTAGTCCAGTTTTGATAAACGTTTACGCGAATTTTTTCAAGTATCATCTATTTCGATAACATGGCACCAACAATTCAAACTAATGGGAGTACATCTGAAAGAGACAAACGAACAACAAGACCAGCAGAAAAAAGGTAAGGAAATTCACCTCAAATATGTATATATTTTTCAAAGAACGTATTGTTGCCAGTTGCATTATTTTTTGTTATAGATCTGAATTAATATGCAGAGTTAAATATTGTAATACGCTTCCTGATATTCCATTTGATCCTAAGTTTATCACATATCCATTTGAATCAACTCGGTATGTATTGATTATTAAGTTTTATGCATTTATAAAATAATCATCTGTGAAAAATATAATTGTACTATTTAATAGATTTATTCGATATAATCCCACATCATTGGAACGTAACTACAAATATGAAGTTTTGACAGAACATGATCTAGGCGTTGAAATAGATCTTATAAATAAAGATACCTATGCTGGAGATGTTAATGGTCAGTTAGAACCTGCTGATGAAAAACTTCTTGAAGAAGATGTTCTTACACCACAAGATTCAAAAAGATCTAGACATCATGCCAGAAGTGTTTCTTGGCTTAGACGTACTGAATATATTTCAACAGAACAAACTAGATTTCAACCACAGACAGTTGATAAAGTTGAAGCTAAAGTTGGTTATAGTATTAAGAAGAATTTCAAGGTTAGAATACAAATACAGTAATTAGTTAACTTATATTTATATATTTATGATATTTTATGGTGATTTTCTGTTCAATTCACAGGAGGAGACATTATATATGGACAGAGAAAGTCAAATAAAAGCAATTGAAAAAACATTTGAGGACAATAAGAAATCAATTGATAAACATTATAGCAAACCAAATGTTGTACCTGTTGAAATTTTACCTGTATATCCTGATTTCAAGGTACCTACTAATGTAAAAATGAGTTTTGATAACTTTTGATGGAATTCAATATAATCATATATTTTTATTTCCACAGTTATGGAAATACCCTTGTGCTCAAGTAATATTTGATTCAGATCCTGCACCAACAGGACGTTCTGTCCCTGCTCAGATAGAAGAGATGTCTCAAGCAATGATTCGGTAAAGTTATATCTGTCCTAATTTATTTTAATTTAATTTACTTCTACTATTCATATTTTATAAATTAATAATAAATCTTTATAATATATAATTTCATTGGAATAGGGGTGTCATGGATGAGAGTGGTGAACAATTTGTAGCATATTTCTTACCTTTAGAAGAAACGTTAGAAAAGCGAAGGAGAGATTTTACCGCTGGCATTGACTATGCAGATGAAGAAGAATATGAATATAAGATGGCTAGAGAGTATAATTGGAATGTTAAAAGCAAAGCATCTAAAGGATATGAAGAAAATTATTTCCTCGTTATACGACAAGATGGGGTATATCAAAGATGAAAAATTTTAGCTAAATTATTGAAGTATTTATTTAATCACTTTATTCATGATTTTAGGTGTACTATAATGAATTGGAAACTCGTGTACGGCTTAGTAAACGCAGACAGAAAGCTGGCCAACAACCAAATAATACACGATTAATTGTGCGTCACCGACCATTAAATGCCAATGAATTTAAAATGCAAAGATACAGGGAAAAACAATTAGAACCTCCAGGAGAAGAAGACGAAGATGAAGAAGAGGAAGAAGAGGAAGAGGAAGAAGAAATGCAGCAAGAAACTGAAAAAACAGAAGAGAAAGGTTATAGATACTTTTAACTTTGATATATCTGTAATTTTTATCATATTCTCATTATTATTCTTTTCTTTCAGCTGACTCCGAAAATGAGAGTGGTTCGCGTGCATCATCCAGAGCATCTTCTCGTGTTTCCAGTAAAAGATCTCATACGCATTCTCCATCTCCCTCTAAATCTGGTTCAAGATCCAAGTCACGTTCACGTTCCCGCTCTACATCAAAGTCTTCATCTCGTTCTCGTTCTAGATCGCGATCGGAATCACGCTCCCCATCTAAATCACGTAGTAGATCAAAATCAAGATCCGAATCACCTCAATCGAGAAATTCTTCTCGGTCAAGGTCTCGATCCAAATCAAAATCAGCATCGAGATCTCGATCCAAATCAAAATCGGCATCGAGATCTCGATCCAAATCAAAATCAGCATCGAGATCTCGATCTGGTTCTCCCGTTAAATCACGATCAAGATCGCGATCAAGGTCAAAGTCCAGATCGAGATCACGATCTCATTCAAAATCAAGGTCAGCAAGTGGAAGTGGTAGTGTTTCTGGTAGTGGTAGTGCTGCAAGTGGTTCTGAAAGTGAATAAGTAAATGTTATGAAATATATAAACAGTGGTTCCTATGCCTGTATCAGTATTTTTATTTACACTTGTGAAATCTCATTCAATGGTTTTCAGAATTCACTATTTACAGCAGTACATCAAAAAGTAAGTGTAAAAAGTTTTATAAAATGATTTTGTCGAAATATTTAACTTTCAACACATTTCCAAATACATTTGAAGTTGCAGATTTTGTACATTTTACTATAAATCATATGAAAAGTATTGATAATGTAGTTATACATTTTTGAAAGGACATTGTATCTAAAAAGTTCGAGAATTTGATTGTCATAAAAATCAATTTATTGTTTCTGTGTATGTAAGATATCATATAACTTTATTGCTTTTCATATTTTTATTTTTCTCAAAACCAGAATACATGATCACGTGATTCACGTCACTGTTGATAATGGCGAACAAAGGAAAAGAAGAAATGATAGTCATAATATTCGCAAGGGAAAATTTTCAACGTAAAAATTGTCAAATATTCAATGACAATATGTGTGTAAAGTAAAAAAATACGTAGAATGATTTATACATGCATGTCAATACTTCAAGGGGTCACTCTACATACTGATATGAGTAAAAAACGTTATATGAACATATGTTCTATATATCTTATAATTATTTTTAAAGTTATGGATGATTAAAGAAAATGTTTAACCTACAAGAAATTTTGGAGAACAGTTTTTCGAGATCTTTTGCTTCGATTAATAAAGAAAGATATGCAAACCAGAAATTCAAAATATTCGGAAATTGGGTGCAAGTATAGTATGTCATTCATAATACAAGCTTATTTTTATTTCATCTCATATTTCAGTTTTATGGGATAAAATCACATCTTGAAAAAAATTTTCTTTTTTATGAAATATCTTAAAAACGGTAAAAGATATATTACAAAAAATTTAAACAAAAGTTGCATCGTTTCATTATGTTTACTAAACTGCGTAAAAAAGATTGTTGAAAAATCCGTGATTTTTGAGTTACTCTTCTCCCATACTATCATTCCTTAACAAATTTTTTTTTAGTATAAGTTTTTACGTTTTAAAATACCTCTAAATATCTTCTTTTCAGAAATATCAATGACTTATGTGTTTACATTTTTTTTTTTTTTTTTTTTTTTTTTTTTTTTTTTTTTTTTTTAATAAACTAGTTATTATCAAATTTGAAGTCCATTTCAGCAATTTTCTTTAATGAACTTTTTTCAGGATGCTTCATATACATCGCATAAAAACTAACATTCCATAAATACTATATTTTGATATAGCCCATCCACTCTTGACATAACAAAAATAATTATGATGAAGGAAAATGACTCGATAGAATTATCTGAATTCAAAACAAGTAAATAGTGGATTTCGAAATTATAGAATGTGATCTATGTTTCAAAATATTGATAACTTGCAATATATATTCTCTTATATTTATTAATATTCCTTAAGAAAAACGAAAAAGACGATACAAGATTATAAAGTACAAGATGAGAATAAAATGTATGTAGTTATATTATAAAATATCATAGGAATTCACTCTAATATCTCATGTAAATATACAGTTTTTCCATAATACAATATTCTTATTTTATTAAAATTATAGACAAATTTATACATCTTCTGACACAATATTTTTAAAATATTTTGAAAAAATAAATAACTATATTATTGGTATACTAATACTGCATTATCAATAAAAATACATAAATTATATTTCAATACAAAAAGATTTTAAAAAATTTTCCATGAACCATTTTACAACTTCAATTTTTCTTACAATATTGGAAGAGTTTTTGTACTAAAAACAAGCTGATTAGATATATATATTAGATATATATATATCTAATCATATAATCATATATATATATATATATATATATATATCTAATCATATAATCATATATATATATATAGTATTTATTTGTATCATATTAATGATAAAGTGATCTTTTTTTGGTATCTTGCTCATCAAAATATATGCAATATTCATCTGTCATATGAAATATTCTTTCTTTCGACAGATTATTTTTAGAAGTAGGGTTTATGACCACTTTGCTACTGTTTCATTTGTATTTATTATTACTTTTATCATAATAATATAAATATTAATCAGTAAAAAATATATGCAAATGTCTAGATAGTACACATGACTTTTATGAATGTTCAATGAACATTCTTTTACAATATTAAGAACATTTGTAATACATAAGAATATTCATAGAATATTGTGTGCCATCTGGGTATACCCAAAATTATTAGAATAAATGAATGTATTATGATACTAATGTAAAGAGATAAAAATGTCATACAAGAATTATTGAACTAAAACGTTTTTCGTAGCAGATAAGAAGTATATAAATATATTTAAAAGAAACTAATATATTTAAATATATGTAAGGAAACTATATTTAAAACTTACTAGTTTGTTTAATTTTTCTATTTTCCATATACTAAGGTTTATAGACAATACTTTTTTTATCATCTATATATAATGTATATACGTTGCAATAATTAAAATTAGTAGCATTTATATAAATAGTAAAGAACTTATCTGTCTATTAATACATCATTCTAATAACTTTCATTGATAATTCTAAATTTTTGAACGGTTCGATTAATCTACTCCCTGCTGTGTTGAATGCAGCTAAAATACGTACGAGATTTTGTAATTACAATTTATATATTTTTTTTTTTTCGAAATAATAGTTCAATAATATCTTTATAAAGATCAAAAATTTAAACATAACGATGAGTGAAAAGAATATGGAAATATCTATAAACGATGTTGGTGTGTCAAATGAATTTTCAATAAAAATACGAATTGATTCATTGATCAAAGAGGTTAAATTTAATTTACATCAAGACAAAAAATTTGAAAAAATTATACATATATCTTAACATATATCTTTCCAGTTTTTCGATGAAAATATTATTGACAAGAAATCTCGAGAGCAATTATATTCTTGGAGATCTCAAGATACTAAACTATCTGTTAGTAATTGGTCAAAAAATGCAACCTATAATGATTTGCAAAAAAAAATAAAATTTTTGAAACAATCAATCTTACAATATATTAAAACTGGTCAAATTTACAAACAAAAATTAAAAAATTTAGAACTATTAAGAACGCAGAAAGAACAAAAGGATTGGTATATATTTTCTAAAATTTGTATAATTATATATCAAATATAAAGATTCAATTTTCTTTTCAGGGACGATATTACATGTATAATTGCATTATATGATAAAAACTTTTCCTTTGGACAATTGAGATACGTAAGTTTTATTTTAAGCAATTCAATATGCGTGTAAATACTGTATAAATGGTATTATATAAATATATAATACATTATATAAAGCAGTGATGAGCAACTCATGGCCCGTGTGTTATCCAACTTACCTGCTGTCGGCAGAAACATTATGCATGAGCTAAAATGAAAAATTTTAATAAAAAGTACATCATCTTGATAATGAATCACTAAAAAATTGTATCTGAGTCTCAGTTTCAAACATATCTCCAAATATTGCGAACTTTATTAATGAAAAATAGAACCAAGTAAATCTATATTGAAAATAACAAATATTATTCCATAAATTAAAAATTTTTTGATTTAATATTACGTATTTAATATTAAGTATTTAATATTACGTTCGTTGCGGCCCCAATGGAATAGGAGATTTTCAATTTTCGCCCTTTATAGAACGAAGGTTACTCATTACTGATATAAAGTATTGTGCTTATATATTGGCAATATAATTTATTCAATTATATCATTTATTTAATATAGTCCACTCAGAATCTAACAAAAGATATCAAGGATTGTTGCCAAAAGTATACAACATTATCTAAGGAAGTTAGAAATATGAAAGATGAATTGAATGAATTTACAATGCAGTACAATATGGATTGGATAAATTCTAATTCCAATTTCATGAATTTATCTAATGTAATTAATAATATAAAGTATGTAATATGTATTGATATTATAGAAAATATTGTCAATATAATAATGTTTTGTTTTTCATACGTTATATCTTATTATAGAAATAGAAATATTGCTTCATTAAGTGCTATTAGGTCAGCAGAGGATACATTACAAGAATTACGAAATAAATTAAAACAAACTGAGATAGTCTTGCAAGATCGCAAAAAGATAAAAGAGAATGAATTTTTTCGAAATATTTCTTAGGAAAGGTATGTATCATCATTTGTAAGAAATAAACATTGCTTACACTTGTATATTATGTCTGTTTTTTTTGCAATTTTTACAGGTGGAATATATATATTTACATAAACTTACCTCCTGTCGGTAAATAGAAAACCTATTAATAATTTTTGATGATGCTAACAATTATCCATATATTATTTTAATGTTATCTGCCGACAATAATTTATTACAAAAAATATAATTTATTATAAGAATTAATATTAAATATAAGTAAATAATCCAGATATTTATATTAGATTAGATAATAAAGAAAGAAAATTATATAATAATAGGATAATTTGTTAAAAAGTAATATATTAAATATTGCTTTAATTATTAACATTCTTAATATTTTTTACTTTGTTTTCTAGAATATAAATGAGAAATAGAGTACTTTTGAAAAGGATATTTTTTTTTACAATGCAATGTATTACATTATATTTATATAATAATTTTGTATTTGAGTATAATAAATATATTGTACAACAACTTAAGTTATTAAAAAGTTAGAAATAACAAATTGTTTTCTGTTAATTTTATTATATCAACCAAGTATTTGAATCTTTTGTGTCATTCTTCATTCGCATCCTTCATAAACTGGCCGCAAAAATAACTTAATTTGATAGACCCGCAGAAGTACAAAAATTAAAATTTAGACTTTACTACAATAATTACATTGTAAGAATTGTTAATTTATAAAGAAACGTAAGTATTATACTAGATAGGAAAATAAGTAAAAAAATTAAATTTATATTTATATAATAATATTTATAAATATTAATAATTTAGAAGACCAATATAATTTATAATTAATAAAATTTAATTTTTTATTAATAGAAAATTTGTTCATTTATAAAATAAAATAAATTACATATCATTAAACGAGAACGCTTCTCATCCTCTGATCCTATAATCTCAATTATTTTTGCATTTTCTGTAATACAAATAATACAAATAATTTAATAGCTATTAATAAAAAATTCGTATATTTCTTTTAGCAGAAACCTTTCACAGAAATATTTCAAATAATTTACCAATTATTGCATCCTGTTTTTCTACAAGTACATTCCACATCCATTCCTTATGATAAAGTACAGCTCGATTGATCATTTGTATTATATTTTCATTTATAGAAGAATGTAGAAGAAGAGTTGGTAAAGTTGATACAAAATCCTTAAATATATGTTCACTATAATAGAACAATTATTTTTAGAATTTGTTTCTTTTTTTATAGACTTAACAAAAACATTTACATATAAATATGTAAAATATTACAAAGTGTATAAAAATAAGCATAAGGTATGTTTTAAAAAATACTCTTACCTTTGTAATTCAGTTAATGTATGGTCTAACATAATATCACTAATTATATCATATAATTGTACTTGTAATTCTTGTTTTGATTGGTGAAAACTTGCACTTATTATCGCTTTTAATATAGGTTCTATTGTTATACGATTGACATACCATACTTGACTTGCTTTGAAAAACAAGGTTCTGAGAAGCTTATTTAATTGTGGCAATGCAAAATTATCCATATCGGACCAATCATTAATTATTTCTGTAATGAAACAAATTTAAGTAACAGTAACTGATAGATTATAAAAATGGCATATAGATAAATATATTTTTAATACCGTTTAGGTAATCCATAACATATTGACAGTATGCCTTGTCCAACTTATTAGCGTTATTATGATTTATATTCATAGATGTAAACCAAGTATAAATTTGACAAATGCCCAAATTTTGCTCCAAACATTTCTCAGTCATTTCTAGATCAGAAAAATCTTCTTGCCTTTTTCTACATTTCTCAACAGTTTTTGTTTTAGTATACGGAAATTTAGAAAACAAGTTCTTAATGTAAACACTTTGAAAAGAATTTGTAAACCACACTTTGGTATTTATATGATCATTATAATCTAATATATCAATATATTCAGTTATTAATTGTATAATTATTACAGTATGTTTTAATAAAATAGATGCTTCACTAGAAATAACAGTCTCAGAAATTTTACTAATTCTTTCTTCTGGACATACTTCAATCCAACTATCAAATATTAAAGGCATTAATACACTTATATATTTAATGAGTTCAGTTGCATCTAAATTTTTCTCATTGGTATTATCTTTTAAGTTAACAATACTTTCAAAATTTATTTTATAATCTTGAACATCAACTTGTCTGTAGAATGGAACATATTTACTTTCTTTATCTATGCATATCACTTTTACAGCAGATGTGTAATGTTGTGTTTTTTCAATTTTTTTATAATTTATAATAGATCCTAACATGTTTCCAAGGCGTTCTAAAACTTTAATTCTCCATTTTACACTAGTATTCTTAGAATCTAGTGTTGTTGTTAATTGTCTTCCTGGTTTTGCTTCAGTATGCATTTTAGAAATCATGTCCAAGAAGTTTGGCAATATTTTATGACTGTGTTTTGCAATTACACTATTACAATTTTGTATCAATATATCCAAAAATAATAAAGAATCTTCTTTAATATTTGGATCTATATGTGTCATTGCACATCTTAAATATGTAATTAAAATATCACAGAAAGGAGTCAATTGTTCATTAGAAATAGGATTCAAAATACAATTTAATACTTTTAAAGAATCTCTTCTTATATCCTTTTCTTTATCCAAAGATAAAGCAGAAATTCCTTGTAGCAATGGATTCAATTGAGAACTAAAAGTTTGTAAAGGATGTTGTAATAAAATGTCCTTGAGTTCTTTAATTGCTTCTTGACGAACTGTAGAATTATGATGTTGAAGTCGAGCTAATAAATCCTATAAATCGAAAAAAATACTAAGATAATATTAAAATGAAGTAATACTAAAGAAAAATTTTAGGATAAATACTATATAAATCAAAATTATTATATTCATACCTTAATATTAAGTTTTCGCTTACTAAGAATTTCAGTTTCATTATATTGTCTAAACTGATCACGTATCATGATTTTTTTAACTTTAATCGATGTATCTGTTACATTTAATCCTTTTGGTAATAGTTTACTTTTCTTTGCTTTTAATTTCACTTTGGCCTTCTCAGATTTTAGATGTTTTAAATGTTTATGACCTTTTGCCATTTTTATAGTTTATATCAAAATATACTTTGTAATATAAAATATAGTTATATAGTTATTTAAATAATTGTATATATTTTATTTTATATATTTCATATATAATATCATATATAATTGAAATATCTACCTACAATAACATATTTATATATAAATAATAAAAATGTGAGGTTATATATCACGTGTCACCGATGATACTACGAAATTTATGAAGAATCAATATCAATATTATCAATAATATCAATAATAATATCAATATTATCTATATAAAGATTCAATCGTTACCTAAGAATTCTTGTTATTATAATTTTAGTCTTACATTAAATATTACAAATTGAAATATAAACTGTGGTCCAATCGAATTAAAACACGTGACTGTAACATACAGTAAAATATTATAGAAATATAGTTACATTGTTCATACAAATATATATTAAGATAGCTATTATATCATCTTTTGCTCGAAGCTTGTGTGACTTTATATGTGCGGCATATATGGACAAAAAATGAACTACAAAACAAGTGGGGAAACACTGTTCCCACCATACGTTTATCGTATCGATATATAAGCTTGTGTTGGTTATTCTCCTCTCACACGTACATAATAAATGATTTCACGTGGGTTAAAGTAGTTTAGTAAACTGTGAACTTATACTTTTTAATTTTTTCATATATATGTCTTTTTTTATGGTAATTTGTGCATAAACTATTTTAGAAAAAATACCATTTTTTAACGTAATTAAAAAAAAAAATAAAGCTTTTTGAAAAATCCATAAAAGTAAGGTTCTTACTTTTATGGATTTTTATTAAACTTTCGTCTTTAAAATGAGACCTTGCTCATCAAAATTGATCAAGAATAACGTTCTCCGCCTGTTTTCATTGATGGCGTAAACTATTATAAAACCAGGGTTGATGAACAGCCTTAAGTATATATAGAAAACGATGATGAGTTTCAAAAATATAAAAATCAATATATTTTAATTTGTGGAATTGAGTTAATTAATAATAATATTAAGAAATTGATTACAGTCTTCTAGTAAATAAAGCTTAGAATTATTTCAAAGGTATAGAGTTATATTTATATTTGTCAACAGATTAATCTATTTTATTTTATATTATTATGTTTCATACTAATATATTTATTATAAACATGTTATATATGGTAGTAAGATTTATATAAACAATTTGAAAAATATAAATATTATGAATAGATGCATTAGTAAATGCATAATGTAAATAATAACATTAAAAAAAATGTTCAAGAGGATATGTAAATATAATCAACAAAGGAAATATTATTACTCTTTTTTTATTAAAATCAAATGTCTATTTACATTAAAGAGCATATTATTATATCACTTTATTTTACAGATTCTCAGAACATTTTTCTACAGTAACATTATTAAAACTTCTCAACAACTCTATTCTTTAAGATAAAAAAGATCAAGTTTTTAATTTAATTTAATTTTAAAATAGAAAAAGAAAGTGAAAAATTATCGATTCTAATCTGAACAAATATTCTTTTTCCCCAATTCATGATAAAGGGAGAACGTCACATCTCAAAGGATACACACTCCATGAAAAAGTTTAAATAATTATAAATGCATATGAAACAAGGAGATTCTATCCTGATTTAATAAATAAATCAAAAAATAAAGAAACATTTACGAATAAATCTCCGAAAAAAAGTTACTCGTGGTCACTCCATACTTTTCTACTAATTAATTACAACCGATCACTTGTGCCAATTCGGAACATTCCTCCCCGACATAATTGAGTGATCGAAGGAACTTAAAAATTCATTTACTACTGAAGAAGTTTTGCAATGGCTAAAATATTCGTCCGCAATTTAGATTGAAATTAAGAGTATATGATTGAAAATAAGGTAGATCGATATCAAAATTGGTTGAGCTCCTCTTCAATGATACATTGATTTTAATACGTGGTAGGTATTTATTAAGGGACGATCATTAAATTTACTTTTCGAAACTTTACTTTCTTTTATAAATATAGTTTGTGCGATTTTTAAAAAAGAAAGAAGCTTTACGAATGAGCACAGACTTTAACGATTGCATTATATGCAGTCAATGCAAGTACAATTGTTATTTAAATTGCGAAATGCGAACGAACAAACTTCTACTTCATGTTTTTTTGGTTTTTATTTTAGCGGTATAATACTCGATTCCTTATTTACGATTATAATGAAATTCTGAAACAGAAATATAGAAACAAAATAATTAGTATTATTTTTATGATAAAAAATTGTAAAAATTATTAAAGAAATGTTGGATATAAAATTACATTTATTTTAAGTTTTCATAGTTGTTAGTCGACGACTATTTTATCCTAAGATATTAAAGAACCGACTGATATTGATTCTACTTCGAGATTTTAAAAATAATTTTTTAAATATTAATCAGTTATGAAAATAAAATAAATGAAATTATAAATTGTCTAAGCTTAAATAATAAAATAAAACTGTTTCAATAACAGTCAAAGTCAGTCAAATTATTTTATATTTAACACGTATTACGAGCTATATAATGTTAAAAAAAATATACTATTGTTTAAATATTAGTTTTTGTATTCCGTGTACATCATTTAAATAATTATGAAATAACCGAAAGTATTAACTGTTCAATTTTAGACGTTTGGAATGCTTCGATGTTTATTTGTCGAAATAGAAAAGAGAAGTGGATTGATAAATATCAAATTTGAGTTGTCAATGGTGATGGAGATTATAACGGAATGAACTAAGGAAGCTTGTTATACGGTCAAAAATTTCTTGCTTGTTATTTAAGCGATAACTTTACGTCAGTTACTACTAATTCTTTTATGTTCGTCGCATCTTATCTGTCGAATAATAGTTTCATTTACGTTATTGCCTTTGTTATTGTATATTTTTCTTATCTCTCTTTCTCGATCTCTTCTTATTCTTCTCTCTATCTTTCTACATTTTTACTAAAAGAACAGAATGTGTCATCATTATTTTACTATAGTGCTTTTTTTTTCTATTTCTTTTACTTTTTACAGGTATACTTATTTTTGCTTCTTTTACTTCTTTTGGTTACATCACAGGTCAATGTTGAATCTATTGAAACATTATGAAAGAATGATACCTGACAATGAAATGTGGACACAGAATGATAAACTATTCTTTATTCTTTTTTTTTCTTTTTTCAATTTACAAGCATACGAAAGTCTTTCATTTGTATGTCTTTCATAAGTATTTCTTATCGAAATATGTTAGTTATATTAATGCAAGAAAAGAAGAGAGAAATTTTTAAACATTCGTTAATATCTCTTCATTTTTTGTTTTCTTCTAATATTTAAAATTAAACACCACATTTTTAATTGCGAAGTAAACAAACTGTTAATTATAATATTTAATTAATAATAATATTTTAAACGGATTATTTACCGATCTGTAGTAATGAATAGATTAATTAGTGTATTAATAGGAATAATAATTGAATAATTAATGTACATGACAGGTTTCAGAAGAGATCAATTGATGATATAGCGTAAATGTAATTATTTAATTAAATAATAATTATGATAAGATTTATAAATAAACGATCTGTTCATCTCACCAGAAATAAAAAAATAAAGAGAATTAAGAAAGAGGGAAATCTCTCTTACACGATTTGAAGATTATTTTTTTTTTGCTTTTTTCTTTATTAAAAACAGGAAAATCAATGAATACGATACTTTCGGAGAAATAAAGATTCTTTCTGAAAATAAAGCATATGTTCTATCGTTAAAAATGTAAAAAATGTAAAAAAATAGAAAGAAATTTAGAAAGGGAGAGAGAGAGAGAGAGAGAGAGAGAGAGAGAGAGAGAGAGAAAAGAGAGAAAGAGAGAAAAAGAGAGAGAGAGAGAGAGAGAGAGAGAGAAAGAGAGAAAGAGAGAAAAAGAGAGAGAGAGAGAGAGAGAGAGAGAGAGAGAGAGAGAGAGAGAGAGAGAGAGAAAAAAGAAAAAAAAATAAATAATAATAAAGGCAATAATGAAAATAGAACTGTGCTCCATTGATAAGATGCGTAGAATCATAAAAAATACTCGACGAAAAGTCATAGCTACTGAATTTATGTGAAAAAGAAAAGAACTTTGACTACGTGGGATACTTTTTAACTCTTCATCGTTATTACCATTACCATTATTAACGACACCAATCCTGACAACACAGGAACGCTCATCTTAATCGTCCAACTTTTACGTGATTTTTGTTATTTCTTCTATTTTTCTGTTCGAATATAAATTAAATTAATGATGAAAAGTGAGAAAAATGAGAATAATGAATTATTATTCTTAAGATTATTTATGTATTGTTACGACTCAGACGGTACGGCCTTCAAAATTTCACGAGGAACTCTTAGCTTACGGGATTTGTAGCTATTTCGGTTTTTTCCTGTTATTTGCAGTTATGGCACGGGACTGCAGAATGTTGATCGGGTAGAATATACCAAAGTGTTACTTTAGTCCAATTGAATTACTTCTGATTTCTTCAACCGTTTGGGAGTAGGTGCATCCCAATACAAATGAAGTAAATTCTTCCATGATTTCCAAATAACAGAGATTATTCCAAATAATAGAGATCATTCCAAATAATGTGGACCAGTTGATGGGAGAGTGGATGGTGGTATATACCTTTTGAAACAGGGAAATGGAGTGAGTCGATAAGGGTTGGAAATTTCGGAGATATTGCCCTTGCGGCTTGTTCATACTTGTAGCGATTTATGAAGGAAAGTAAGAAATATCATCCATACGGTCTATTCGCACTTGTAACGATGATGGAGGTAAAAGATTGAGAGATTGTTGGAAATTGTATATAGTTGTAAATATATATACATACATATAATATAAAATATGATTTTGTACAGATAAGTTTTACAGAGAGGTACTTAGATAAAACAAGAGAAATACGCAAAGTTGGATTTAGGATTGGAAGAAATAGATTTAAGAAAATGTGATGGTTCTGGATTTAAGACTACTCCGAATGAACTAAGAATTGAACGTAATTTTAACTATAGTATTTTAACCGTGATTTAGCGTAATTAGTTTAAAATTTTTTTAGAATTTGGAAAAAACTACTAAGCCATGTGGCACAGGGGTTTATGTCTTGGCGGTGCTGAAATCTCACGAGTGTTTGATTTCTCATCGTGAACTATCATGTGATCGGATGGCACATGTATTATTAGTGCTTAGTGGCAATTAGTCGAAAGAAACCGTGTTATTCTCCATATACCCGGTGTTCTTATGATAAAATTTATATGTGCATGATCTATTAAGTATATTTTAAATTCTATATATATATATATATATATATATATATATATATATATATATATATATATTCTTTATTATTTACAACGATATTTGTACGCAAAAAGGTGACCCCTTATATAACGGGTACATAATATTTAAGTCTCTGAATATGTGAAATATATATAACACTCATCTTTAAGCATTTTATTCAGATCGTTATAAGTTCTTGTGCTGTTAGTTGTGTACTCGCTTGATTCTTCCTTGTATTCAAATATTGTTGTCTTTTCTGCTATTATTATTGTTGATATTTTTTCACGTTTTGGTCTTCTCGCAAAATGAAGTGGAATACGTAGCTGTGAATTATAGTATCAGCGATATATTTTATTGGACGGAGTATCATAAGGATGGCGAGTATTCCGGCGCTTGTTGATTAAAATGTTACAAATGCTCCCCATAACCTACTAATAACATTGTTCAGTAATGGTTGCTATTTTTTTCAACAAATCTTCGTCCATTATATAGTGATATTCTGCCTAGAGAAATTTGTTTCCCGCTGGCTCCTCTGGCGAAAGTGTCAATAATGGCCAATTTTTCTATGGGTTCCATGATGTGAGAGCGAAGTTTGTCCAGATCATCGCTTGAATAAATTCCACTAGTTCTTTGATGCTCTGGAATGTACTTTCAGGTGAATTTGGTTAATATTTGTTTAGATTGTTGGTGAAGGTAATGACTCTACTAGTCTTAGAGTTATTCTATATTAGGTTCCATGAAGGTTGTACATGTTAGGAAACCATTCGTTGCCAGTCTTTTGGTATGATAAGAAGAATGATTGGTTTTGATATATTGCGGATAACTTCCTGTAACATTTATTGATTGGTCTTATTTTTCTATCTACAAGTATGTATTTATTTGACCAATAAGTTTCGCTCCCGTCTGAATCAAGATAGGATTCTTTGTTCAATGGGCATATCGTTCCTGTTTTGAGCTGGATCTGGTTAATTTGTACCTTACAAATGCCATGATAATAGTGTGATTCTGATTTATGTCTGGACTATCACGTTGTCTCGTGTTTCGAAGGGGTTGCATGTTCCATCAGTTGTAACAGTGTCGCTGAGTGTTGTAACAGTGGGGCTTCTCGCGTCCGTATCATTCTTTTCTATTCCTGTTAAATAGACATTGGGACCCAAATAAAAGCTTCCAGTGGAATGTAGTTGCTAGCACAACTGATGATTTAGTGTGTATAGATACTCTCTGCGTCCGTTATAGATGATGGATATGTGTAAATGCATGCCGCAATGAAAGATAGCTTCGATTAGATCGCTTTCGATACGGCATTGTAGTATCTTTACTTTTTGATACTCCGTTAATTATAGAGTAGTTGAATGTATATATTGCTGTTGATAGGTAGAAGATCTGGTGTCTTACAATCGGCTACGTCCAGGAGCGAAAATGTAGATACGTTTAATGAAGTGCTGGTACAGTCGTATTTGACTAATGCGGATACTGCTACTCTTACTAAATTCAATAATATGGCGAACAAAGATTTTCGACTTGACTTCTTGAGTGTTTGCAAGGAACTGATGTTTGGAGTTGGGGTTATGCGGCTTATATACAAATTTTATCAATTATGATGGGGGTAATCATCATCATGGAGAATCAGCTGGACTAATGGATTATGCTATGCTTTTTAGAACCGTTGTTGGTAATGTTGTTCATGGCTGGCGTATATTATACGTGTGCGTTTACTGGTGCGTATCTTAATTTTATTTTTGCCTAGTGAAGCGATTTTTTCATATAGGTCTAAATATTGATCATCGAATTTCCCTTTATGCTTTAAAGTTTCGTTGTTTTTTGTCGTAATAAAATTTAGATTGTGTCTTATTTAATTGTTCATTTAATTCTCCTAAATAATGCGCATAAAAGTTCTGAAGATCATTTGCTCTACTTTTGTTGGGAGTTCTTGCTATCTATCCAAATACTAATTCGTGTGGTGTATATAATGTACCTTCATGTACACAAGTATTACATGAGAACATCACAAGGTCTAATCAATTATCCGAATCATTATTATTTTTTATGAAATGTTTTAAGAATTCATCTAATACGTGATGTGATCGTTGTATGGATCCGTTTGAATATGAATGATATGGAGTGGTCTGGTATTATAAATATATCTGGTTTATTCTAAATTTCTTTGCTATTGCTTTCATCAATCAAGATAAAAAGTTAGAGTCTTGATTTATTAACATTTAACCGTCCGCTCTTTGAAAACAAAATTTAAGTGCACGGCCGGTAAAATTATGTGTATTGTAGAAGCTGTTCTTTTTCAAGGAAAATTAATGTATTTTTCGTAAAAGACATTTTTAAACAAAAGATTTATATTGGGTTTAGTTACATAAATGTCGAAAAACAATGTATCGCCGACCGATTACCCATAGTAGAGAAAGAACACATTAATGCTGCCGGACGGTTAAGTATTAAAATTCCTTTTAATAACACGAATTTACATATGACATTTTTAATTAATACGTCTGTGATTTCCTCTGAGATACAAGTTATATAAGTGTATAATTACAGTATATAGTACGTATTTAATACGTAATTAATAAGTATATAATACATATATATTATATATATATTATATATATTATAAATATATATATTATATATATTCATTCTATAAAATGTGATTTTATAGGAAATACGCAAAATTGGATTTAGGATCGGAAGTAGTAGATTTAAAAGAACGCAGCGGTTTTGGATTTAGGACTACCCCGAATGAACTAAGAACTAAACGTAATTTTAAGTATAGTACTTTAACAATTATGAGAGTAGCAGAGAACGTAATAGTATTATTGTGTACGAAACACGAAATGTTTAATTAGTGTATTTATTCTTTTTTAGTTTCTTTCATGCGAATGTTCGTCCATATTTATACGTGTTAGTTTAAACATTAAAAAGCGTAAATGAACAAATCAAACAAATTTACGAACAATAGACTATTATATATATTGCTTGAGAAATTTAAACATTATTTTATCTTTTGTAATTTTCCTCTAAAGGTGCCAAATGTATTTTAAATATTTTAGAAAATTAAAGGTGGATAAGAAAATACTTATGTCATTTTTTGTTTTTTTTTCCTTTTTCTTTTTACATAGAATATATTGTTATTATAAAAAAAAAATATGTAGGCTCCTGTATAAAAATCATAGTTTCCTTTGAAATAACTTCGAAACCTTCCATTAAATAAAAAAACAATAAATACCATTATATTTTCCTATTTGAAATCAAATGACTTGCCTAAATAATTTTTTTCAAGGATTGCCGTTTCCAAGATAAAAATTTGTAACATTTTATCTTGAATATAAAAGATAAAACTAAAAAACTCAAGATAAAAAAAAAAAAAAATTCAAATGTAGAGAAATGTTTTTTACTTATATATTTTTCTTAGTAAAATTAATAGCACTGGTTGACCAAAAAAAAAAAAAAAAAAAAAACAAGACGAGGGAGTTTCGAACGCACGATTTTCTAACTCGTAGAACTATATCTTAGTTCATTAAGTCGAACTACCATCTGAATACTTTTTGCTACCGTGATACTAAAGCGTTATATACTTCAAACATTCATTTCTGAACAATTGCATCATTTCTGAATAGAATTTATTACTTCTATATCAATATTATATACCTAGAAAATTTCGGCAAAATTGGTGATCAGATTCTGTATATCTTGTTTATTTTCTTTGTCAGATAACGTCATAATATTTACACAATGCTGCCTATTCCCGAGATCTCATCACTTTTTAAGTACACTTCATATATACTAACCAATCAAAATGACTGGTGTGTTAATCGTTTTTTTTAAATGTTTATTTTAAAATTTATTGCACGTTTTTTGAAGTCATCATATTATATCTTTCTATTATGTATGTATAATCACTTTTATAAATTCTTTTGTTCCTCTCCTTTGTTTTCTAAAATAGATATGAGATATATAACCGTAATATATCGGAGTAATTGCCGATAATCTAGTATTACATACTTTATGGTCGTACGGTGGCTCGTCGTTGCTTGATCGTTAGTTCTGTATGTGGCTTTATATATCTGCCATTTTGCTACTGGTAAACATATCGTTCTCTGATTTAAATACGACTATTTCTGTCAAATGTTACATATTAGTCTCTTCTGCAAGGGTTCGCTCGACGATCTTGTCGAGTTAACCTTTATATTTTGCGCATAATAAAAAAAAAAAAAGAGAACAGGTTCTGAGTTCTCGAACGATTACACTACCGTGCCAGTTTTTTATGCGTTGCGGTATTAAGAAGTGATTCATTTATTGCATGGTAATGAAATTTATGTCATATACATGTGTGACTACGTTTTGCATATCAAGAATTTTTTCAAGGTTTTCTACATTTTGAGTAATGTGTCATCGAACACATAATAATATATTTCGAACGACGCCTATCATTTTCATTTATTTTTTTTGCTATTTGTGTATTTTCTCTCTAAATCCTTTCTATTGCAAATTGAAACGCAATATTACTTAACATTAACATTATTATTCATAAATACGTTATTTTTACGCAATTTATCAATGATGCCGTATAAGTGAGTATAATAAGATACTGTTATAAGTATAAAATTGTTCATGTATCTTTACCTTTAATATCATTGCTATTCTTATGATTCAATGAATTTTAACTTATATGTGTCTGTTTGTTTTACCAGAATGGTAACTTCCTACTGACAAGACTATAGAAGAACTAGTATATATTTGCAAAGTAATATCTGAGGTTCTTTCTATTAACTCTCAAAATGATGGAAACCGATCCTCCTCAATTTTTGTCAAAAGATGATGAAATTCAATATTGGATGGATCTTGCTCATCAGATGCATCAAAGGTAAAATATTATTTTATCTATATTTTATGAATAAATATAGATAACCAATGGACAGTTCCTCTAAAATATAATTAATTTATATTGAAGTACGATAGAATTCCACACAATATAAAGGATCCGTGTTATAAGAAACTGCGCTATACAAATCATATGGATTACATATTGACTATGAGTATGAAACCTAATTTTTGACTACAGTATGGGTGTCAAATATAATTTGAAAAAGTTTCCTATAACACGGAATATTATTGTTATATTATGGTTGCCAATAATTTATTAAAATATAGAAAAGAAGATGTTGAAAGAGAATTGGAAGAATTTCAAGAAAATTCTCAAATGTTAGAAAAAGAATTAGAAACATCTTTAGAACAAGCTGAAAAAGCAAATAGAGAATTAAGACAAAGGAATACACGACTTGCAACAGAAGTAGAGCAATTAAGAACAAGATTAGATCAACAAACTGCGGATTGTGCTATGTTTCAGTCACAAGCACAAGATTTGCAATTACAACATGAGCAATTGATGAAATATATCAGAGAACTGGAACAGAAGAATGATGATTTAGAAAGAGCACATAGGTATGTAATAATGTTTATAAAAAATACATCATATAAATCTTATGAATAAGATACAATGGTATAAAATATTGCTTATATAATTAAAAATAAAATATTATTTACAGTTATATTATATAGTCATATGACAGTATGATGTATATAGTGACTGCTGATACATATATTTATAATGATTCATTATATATTACAGGGTAAATAGAGTAACGGAAGAAGAGATAGAAGCTAAATTTAACTTGGCAATAGAAAAGAATGCTTTACTTGAGTCGGAGCTCGATGAAAAGGAAGGCTTAAAAGTCATAGTACAAAGATTAATGGATGAAATTAGAGGTTTGATAATAATTTTATATATATATATATATATATATATATATATATATATATATATATATATATATCTTTTCTTTCTTTCGTACTTAATACTATTATTAATTTATTATAATTTCTTAGATTTGAAACAAGAGATTCAAGTACAAGAGCGACACCAACCAGATAATGATAAGACAGCAGATAGAGTTCGTAATCTTGTAGATAGTAATAAACTACAAGTTGAACTAGAAACACATACACCACCTTCCAGTCCATTAGTTTCACAGTCTATACCTTCAAATAACACGACTCCATCATTGAAAAGTAAGATTCATAATGCTTTTCGTAAGTCTAGACACGTACTTTATTTTGGATCTAAGAAAAAGCTTTCTGCAAATTTATTAAAGTGAAAGTTTATGTTTTTAAAATAATTAATTATTAATGTTCTTGTTAATTATTACTTTAGAGTAATTTATATGAAATAGGAATTGACTTATTCTGTTCCTCTATATTTACTCATTATCATGAATTCTCCAATCTTGCATTATTAAAATTATGTATTATTATAAATAAATTAATATTTGACTTTATATTAAATTGTAAATATAAGTTTGCTACATATTAAATAAAAATTATTTTCAAGCTTATATTTTTCCAGTTTTTCAAGTTTATGTATGCTTTTCATCTGTTTATTTGAATATTAGATTGTATTTATATAATTGTTCATATTTAATTTGTACAGTAATATATTTTTTCTTATTTACTATTAGTTGGAAATGGAGTAGTAGGGGGTGTAATTGGGAACAACAATAATAATATAAATCCACCGTTGGCACCATGTACCAGAATATTAGCGATGAATATGATTGGAGACCTGATGCGAAAAGTTGGAGTGAGTACAAAAATTGAATTATTAGAATGCAACAGATGTTTGTAATAAAAAAAAGAATGCTGTTATTAAAGCTTAAAGCATGGCCTGTATTTTCTTGTAACTTTGTAAATCTTGTGTATTTGTCTATATTATTTTTTGTATATAAATTAGATTTTATTTGGAAAAACTATTTAGAATAACAACTTTATTTTATTATTATTATTATATATATATTTATATATATTTATATAAATTATATATATAAATATTTTTAATAAATTCAATAAAACTTTATTTAATTGATGATATTAGTATCCTTTTTTTTTGTATAAGAATGTAGTTGTTACTAGTAGCCGGTGTTTTGGTAGCTTGACAGATGGGTCTGCATGGACTGTAGGAGGGTGAAATGCACTTGTCCAAATGGAAAAAAATCAAATACCATTCCAACAAATAATGCACCATCGATTCAAGTTTATACACCTACACAGTGTATTAGGCAACAACCTAGACCAGCCAAATGCAGACAATCTTCGTGATACCTCATCATTAAATTATTTTCCATCTCCTTATAATGCAGGTCTTTATTCGTTTTTCTTCTTTATATTTTCTTTGATTCCATTGCTTCATGCTTATTTATATCATCAATGATATTTAAACAATTCTTTCTTTTTGTTTTTAATACTGAATATATAATTCTTATCTCAGTATATTTCTTTTTATATACTAAATAATAAATTGCTCATGCATGTTTTGCTATATGGCTTTAAGGATTAGGATTGATGTATTGCATGTTTTATTACATATTAGGATTATTTTTTGTTGTATTTTCTATTTCTTTCAGTTAAATAATATCCAGATTTAATTATATTTACAATATAAAGAGAACTAAATCATTAATATAAAGAACTATGCTCTATTAACACATTGTATTTGTTCTTATTTAATATTATTTTCTTATTAAAAATCTCATAAAGAGAAAATAATAAATTATTTAATTAGAAAATAATCACTCTATATAATTAAATTATATTAAATTCGGTAGTACATTTTATTTCTATTTATTTTGATATATTAAAATTTAGATTAATGTAATTAACTTTTGCAAGGATATTTATGAAATACTCTACTGATAATAAAAATTTTTTCATATAGGCTTTGGAAAACAAATTGAATACATGCAGAAATGCATCACGAGAGGACCAAGCTGTACGTGATCTCTACAGGTAACATTTCTATCAAACTTTCACATGGAATTGTGCTGTTCTTTATTTGTACTGTTACATAACCCTCAAAAGTAAAGATTATGTACCTGCAAAAATTTTTATGTATAAAATGTAAAATATTCAAATTGCATAATTTTTTTGGAACTAATCAATTGGAAAGGTACATGATACTGGCCAAATAAAATAAAGTGTACTTATTTTTAAGTTAATTTACTGGTTGTGTATACAATTTCTAGTGCTTTTTATGAAATGGTCATAGATTTGTGTATATTTTAAGTTTTGTACTATCTTAGTGGCATAGCTTTTCAATTTCTTTCTTTAATATGAAAGAAATTAGATAATACTATCTCAGTTGCATAGCTTTCCATTTTAGTATTTTGAACATATTTTACAAGACTGTATAAAATATATATATAACAGTCATAATAATTTTCTAAATAAACTTTATATTTTTTATATTTTTGTTAGTTCTGAAATTATTAGAATATATTTTTAATTTCATTTTCTCATAGACATATTAATTTTTTATATTTCTGTTGTTAGAAAGATAAAGATATTATATAGACTCTATTACATGAGGATGTAGAAGCTTATGTATCATTGCATTTATGTATTATTTTAGAATAATTTTATATTTCTAAATTAGAAAATTATTTGAATATTAAAATGATAATATATAATATAAAATTCTTTGTGAAAGGATAAATAAATTCTAAAATTAGAATATTTGGTAAAGAATTTTATAATATAATATATTATTTTTTATATTTTGCAGATTATATTTATTATTTGTTAATATAAAAATCTTATAAATATATATTCAATACATATATATATTAATTTTCTTTTTTTTTTTCTTTTTTCATAAAATTAATTTTCCTTTCACAAGAGATATGCTTTATTACACACATTAAATGCTTGTTGTATGCTTATTTTTTTTTTATGTATGTGGATAACATCTATATAAATATTGATCCAAAAATATCATATCTGTTTATTGTAATGTGATATTAATCAAAATTCGTTTACGAAAAGATTATGAAATTTAATTTTATGTTATTTACTTTGTTAAGTTATTATATAGCGTATTTTTTAGTAATTTATATTTTATTATATGTTAATATAGAATTTGTTATAAGTAAGAGTTGAGCCACTAATTCCAAGATATACTTTCATTGTGGCACATCATTTTGTTTTAATATATAATCCAAATTATAAATATCAATTTTGCAAATGCAAAGAATATAAAAATATATGTGGCTCAACTAATAATCAGATATTAAATCATTGCCAACATGTAGTGCAAGTATGGTTTGTTTAGCAGTTACAATACATCATTTGCATGAATTTTGTTTAAAAAAGAAAAATGATTTTTATTCTATTTGTCATATTCGTGTAAATAAAAATGAATATCTAACTACTGCATAAATATATGTTAATATTATATATTAATATTATATAAAGTGTATTTTTTATTAATTTCTCATGTATATTTATGCGGTAAGTTGATGATTGTAGGAAATAAAAAATTTACTATACTAAAATAAATGAAGGGTAGAACTGAAGTGTTTTTTGTTAAAATATAAAAGTAACAAAAAATTGTTGCATTTGTTTAATCAGGAGTAGACGACAAGTGAGAGGCGCAGCCTCAGGAAACAACAACCACATTCGATTGTAACAAGGTATTTTTATGTTATAATAAGCCTAAACAAATGTGCAATTATGTTTAAAAATCTTTATTGCTTTAATAAGAATGTTTATTAATTCATAGATAAATTATTAGAGAATGACATAATTGTGTCAGTAAATACATCTCTATACGTCTATTTTGGACAAAAAATATTTTTTACTATAATGTGACAAAGATTTATAACTAGAATTTGGCATATTTATTAGATTTATTTGGTTATAATTACTAAAACAAAAATTTAATTTATATGTGTTAATGGAACGCGCACGCGCGTAAATAAATTCTTTATTATATAACTAATTAACATAAATACGAATGAAGGCTAATATGTGCTATTTGATATCAAATTTGAGTATTTTTCATTATAGCAATAACAAACAGATATATTAATAATTTTTCTTTTTGTAAAACATTTTTATAAAGTACATTTAAATTTAATTGTGGAATAATACAACCCTATTTTAAAATAATATAATTAAAATTTGTAAATAGATTAGTGCCGTATTATGAATATTAAGGCAATATATATGGACTGTTTTAGTTATTTATATTGTAGTATTAAAAACCTAATTTAAATAAACCAATCACAAATGTTGTTTTTAATATTTAGTTTTAATTTCATTAAAAGAATTGTTTGTTATTGTTAAAAAGTAATGTGTAATAATTACAATGGTAAATTATTAATTTATTGGATTTACATAGACATTATATGTATCCATATAATTTTTATGATCATAAGTTTTGAGTATACTTCTCTGTTATATATTTCATTACAACATCGAGAATAATATATGCATATACTATATATATATAATATATTAGTATATACACTCTGCATAATGTTGACAATATCTTAATATTTTTTTTAACAATTTATTTTATTGTTCATTTGTAAGTTGTATATTGGTGCCATTAGATTTATAAAAGATAAATTTCATTATATAAACAATTTTTGTATTATCATAAATTGTTATATTATATTTCATATGCAAATTATGGTATTGTACTTCAATATACTAATGAAATAGCAAAAAATATTTTTATTTCAATGTGTTTGAATGTATTTTAATTATAATATAATCTATATTTTCTGTAGTATAAGATATAAATATATTCACACTTTTATTTATTTTTTAATATCATACACAACACATGTTACTAAAGTATTAATTCTAGAAATACATTTTTTCTTCATCAATGTAAAGATATATTAGAAGTTACACGTTAAAATAATGAAAAATAAATCATGGATATCTTTCAACTTAATAGAATCTAATTATAACTGTTATTTATTTAGATCTGTTTGCTGATAAATAAATTTTCTTGAATTGAAAATTTAATATCCTTTATGCCAGAACATTTATATTAAGTTATATTTAGGCAATTATTGACAAAAACATTGTAATAACAATAAAAATAAAAAAATATCATGTGTTAAAAAAATAGGAAAATATTATAATAGATAAAATATTGAGATTACATCTGTGAGTGAAATAATTGCATTTTATTTACTTTTGCATATTCAAATATTCGTTCAAATATTCGAATGTTAGATGGCGCTCATCTTCATTGTGGCGGATACCGCCCAAAAGTATTTCTTCGGTTTTTGTTTCTTCTTGCTTCTTTTATTTTATGATTGTAAAGTTAAATAAGAACAAGGCTAATCAAAAATAAAGGTACCAAAATATTGCTTGGTCTAATACTATTTTTTGGAAACACTAATATTATATGTCCTAATATCATTTTTATAGAACACACAAATTGTGTTATTTTGTTTATATTAATTTATATTTATCATAAAATATATGCAATGAAAACTTCTCATTATTTTTAAAATTACAGTTTTTACAGATTTGTTTATTACATTTTATTACATATTTGATGATATGGAAATTCTTCATGAAATACTTCATAGGCGTATTAAAGAAGCGAATAAAAACTTATGGCTGACGAATAAGTTCAACACGTTGAAGAATGATGAAGAACGTGTAATATTTACTCTCGAAGTAATGCAACAGTTCAATGTAGTTCCTAAAATAAAAAATGTGCCAAAAAGTCACTTAGATTCGGAAAAATTTAGAAAGGAGGGAAATAAGTTGTTTCTTACAAATCCTCTCGATGGGCATAAATGTATTCAAATATTGCAATTATATACAAAGAGTATAGCTTATGCAAATCCTTCGTCAGAAGAACTTGCTTTAGCTTATGCTAACAGATCTGCTATTCTATTAAAAATTCATAAGTTTAGAAAATCTATTCAAGATATTGATAGAGCATTATCTCTGAATTATCCTGATAAATTAAAAGTCAAATTATATATACGTAAAGTAGAGTGTTTAGTATCAATGGGAGATTCTTCTATAGAAGAAGATTATAAAGCTGCATTGCATTGGCTGGAAAAAATGTCATTAAATGATCTTAACAGGAAAAATCTTCAAAAAAAATTACAATATTTATATGAGCAATCAAAAAACATGATAAAAAAGAATACGAAAAAGCAGGAGAATCAGTATCTTTTTGAAGTTAAATCTCAAAACGTAGAAATTCCGTGTTCATCAGATGCAATAGCTATTAAATATAATGAACGTTATGGAAGACATGTTGTTGCTACTCGTGACATTTCTCCTGGTGAAGTCATTGCTTCAGAGAAACCTTATTCTTTTATGTTAACACCAGATAATATTTATACTCATTGTTCAAATTGTCTGGAGATTTCTTTGGCAAGTATACCTTGTGATCATTGCACTTGTGCCATGTATTGTTCAGAAAAATGTAAATTAGAAGACTGGAAGAAATATCATGATATAGAATGTCCTGTATATTCAGTATTGTTTGAGATTTCTAATTATATTAAGTTTGATCTATTTAGCGCAAGACTTGCAATACAAGCAATAAAAGAATTTAATAGTTTAGAAGATTTACGAAGCCTGATTAAAGAAATTGATGAATGGGATGGTGATTATAAGTTATTACATAATTTTTGAAATATAAAGTAATGGTATTAGCTAATTTTATTTTCAATTTAATAACTATTTGTTATAGATCCTAGAACAAAAGGTTTTAGTTCTGATAACAAATTTCACAGTGATAAATATAGAAGTATATACAGTCTCACGACAAATACTGAAAAAAGACTACCAATTGACCTATTTAGAAAATCTGTAGATGCTTGTATTATTTTATATTTGCTTGCTACACGTACTATGATGTTTGGGGATAAATTGGAACATGAATTATCTGCATTAATTAAAAACAAAGATGTTACATTAATTGGTGGGCTTATATTAAGGCATCAACAAATAATACCTACTAACATTCATAGCGTAAGTATTTGCTTTTACTGTTTTCTTTTCATATTGTAATTGAATTATATTACAGTTGGATGAAGAATATGGTTTAGATGTTAGAGAACGAGGTATTGCAGCAATGGCATTTTATAGTCTGTTTAATCATAGCTGTGATCCAAATATACTAAGGTATTCGAGATCTACAAATATGATTATATGTGCTGCTTATCCTATAAAAAAAGGAGATCAGGTACTTATTTATTTTTAGAGCCTTAAGAAATATTTTGTTATGTTTTTGAGAATTATAAACTTAACATTCTCTTAGATTTTAGATAATTATGGTCAGCATTATGCTATAATGGTAAAACAAAGAAGACAAGAGAAACTTTTACAACAGTATTATTTCAAATGTGATTGCATACCGTGCAAAAAAGATTGGCCTCTATATTGTAGTCTACCTTCTTTCGAAGTATGTACAATTTATAAGTTTAGGTATATTATATAGATTATAATTTTTATTTTTTATAAAAAGTCTTTTCTCTTAATATATAGGATTTAGTAACAAATTTATATGATAAATCAATTATTATGGCTGCTTTAAAAAAATTCGATACTTACGTGTGTTTAGCAACTGTTGGTGAAGTTCATGATAATTTTTCGTATATAATACAAGATTTATTAAAGATGATACAAATATTATATGATCATGCTCCAATGCCTTGTAGAGAAATGAATAAGGTTGTGGAAACTGTAAAACGTGTGTATTCTTTAAGTGGCAACAGATTTGATTTACCTGTGATAACTTAAATAAAATTTATATATAAAATTATTTTAAATTATATAATATTGTATAATTTTATATTATAAAATATTATATATTATAAAATTTATAACTGTATGTATTCTTATTTGTTTCAAATAAATAATATACACACACACACACACACTACATCGAACGTAAATATTATATTTTCTATTTTGTCTTAGTTTGTATATTTTTTATATGTTAAATACTATATAACAAAGTATTTATAATAAAACATTTCAAATGTTCAGAAATCATATTTTTTAAGAAGATAGACATTATAGTTCAAATATTGAAAAATATTTTGAAATTTAATTTAAAAAATATTATATATTATTAAATTATATTCTGATAGTTAATGAAACGTATTGAAAAATGGTTTACCTTAATATTTATTTCATTATATACATGAAACATCATATATTGCAAAAATAAATTATTCGAATTATTATATTTTCTGAGGTAGAGAATGGGATACAAATCCAATAATGAAATCTACTGCTAATATCATTATATACGATATGATATCCACTTGGTATCATTTAGACATTACATTGTAAAGTATCTGTAAGTCTTTAAATGCATATGTATAATAAGAAAATCAATTAATATGTTATGATAAAGTAATAGATCAAATAATATATCATAAAAATTTGTTATTAAGTTAAGAAAGATAAAAATATATGTTTACAATAGATATTAACAAATTAAAAGATATGCAAATTACTTGCACATATATATATATATATAGATGACTGTGTGCACATGATATTGTATACGTAAATACTGTCAAATTTTCATTTTCTTTTATAAATTTAATATAAAATAAAATCACCATTACGAGCAACAAAATCAAGTTAACAATCTAGTAATCATTGTCAACAGAATTAGAAGTACTATCGAATATTCTCTAACTGAGGTAGATGATATATCTTCGTTATTAAATTTATTAAAATATATTTCGTCTACGTAATTAATTCTCCAATCGACACCAGGGTATACAGGACTATATTTTTTCAAATATTGGATAACTACATCCGCTGTAGTAACACCTAAAAAACGAGAATAATAAATAAATGAAAACGTTTTATAAAAGCTTAACATAATAATTAATTTATCATACCTATTGTAGTATATTCAAGATCTTTCAACATCTCGTAACCGTCTCCTCCGTTACGCATAAAATCATTTATCAAAACTTTATAAGTTGTATTTTTATCGAGATCACTGTAACTTGGAATATTACAAGCGGCACATCGTACCTGGACGGAAATTACCCTTGAATTGGGCGGACGAGAAATGTCATATGAGACCTGAAGACCGGAAAATTGAAGGAATGCACCGAATAAATTATCCGAAGAATTGTAATTAAGATTATAAACGCTCCATTCCAACATTGAGAGTATTTGTTTTCCTGTCATAGACGTCTTGAAAATAATGTTGCCAAAAGGTAGAACTCCAAGTATATCACCTATTGTGATCTATATATTTTTTTATTTTCAAATAAAGAAACGAGAGAAGATCAGAACTATGTAAAAAAAAGAAAAAAAAAAAAAAAAACAAAAAAAAAAAAAAAAAAAAAAAAAACAAAAGTAAATACACCTGAATCTTTTTTCATGCGATACTTTTTTTACAAGATTATCTTAACACATTTTAATCACATGATTTTACACGGTTTCAAAAATGAACATTAATCAGTTTGCAGAGACTGTAACGAAAGTTATGCGTATTTGTTTGAAAAAATATCACTTTTTCTTTTTTTCATTTTTTTTTTAAACATTAATTTTTCTTTTATGTGTTTATTAACTAAAATGTTTTTTATGAATGTATTTCTATATTTTAAATTACTATATTTTAAATTACTATATTTTATATTTTATTTTATAATCTATATTTTAAATTACTTTTTGTATAATTCGTATTAGTTTAACGCAAGTTTTATACTCTTTGGAAATCAATTTTTACTTAACTTTTTTTTGCACGATACACATCGACCATTTAAAAAGAGATTCGGGTGTATATACAATGATATTTGACATATCTACCTTATCGTTCAAGGCTCTAGTGATAGACGCTCTTATACTTCCAGAATTTTGAACGGCAATAGCAGCATCGGTCCATTTTCCTTTAAAAAAATATTCCTGGGCATTCTGTAATCGTAATAATTGAATCGTATCTTTATACTAAAAGAACATTTAAAACTATCGATATTAGCAACTTTTTTTACAAACTTACATAATCGATGATAGCATCGGTAATGAGGTTTCCTAAATTGCATTCTTTTTGTCTACAGGTTTTACTGTCACCATCGAGTAATACACGAGTTTTACCAACTTCAATTGTGCTTATATTATCGATCGCAGGTCTGAGTAAATCCAGTTCTTTGAGAACATCCGGTGCCTATATCACGAATCGTCTTTAAATCAATTTAGGTATTGTACATAACTATAATCCATTGTCATCTTTTCAAAGCTCACCTGTTCGATACTATGATCGACTAGAATTGGATTGCCCACAATGTCAGTAACTTCGCCGTTTGAGTCGAAAGAAACGCTAAAGTTACCGAGATATTTAGTATAAGCGTATGCTTGAACAACATAAACTTTTCTACCGTTGTCTTGTACAATTTCAGTAGGATAAATATCTTCGGGGTTTTCAGCGTCAGGTTGTTTGCCACGATAGAGAAATGTATTGGTATGTCCACCGATGACAATATCGATGTCCTCAACTTCTTTGGCGATTTTTTTATCAATATCGAATCCAGAATGACCCAAAGCAATGAGAATATTTACACCCTGCTTTTTCAATTTCTTTGCTTCCTCGCGAATAGCAGGTACCTCGTCGTTAATGATCACATTTTCGGTGATCGATATGATCGTCGTCTCTGGCGTGAGAT